CAGAGATGTGAATAACTGAATTTTCCATAGGTTTCAAGTAATCGCTAATTTTTATTTTCATTCTGCTAAATTTGGAGTTGAAAAACATTGGTTTAAGCAGCTGCTAAGGAGAAGACGATTTTCAACCATGTTTAACAAAACAGCTTTAAAACATGTTTAAGCATTGGTGTGAATTGGGTATAGGAAAATCCTACCTCGTCCTTCTGGTATTAAGGAAGCCAAAACGGTGAGAACGAAACAGTAGAATACAGACAGCATGGAATTCCAGCGAACAGCTACAGTAAGTTTTTCCTCCTTAAAGGAAACATTGGGCGAAATAAGACAGCTGCAGTTTAATTTTTGTTCAAATACATCACCTCCTTTGTCTGATTATAAGGTTCTCAGTGGTTGTCACAACTGAATAAATTTCCTTGGGAACTAGTTGGTTGGTGAAACTCGATTATACCTAATGCATGTCAATGGCCTATAATTTGAATAAAAACAGAGGAAGATGTCCTTCATGTGTTGTTTTATTCTGGTTTAATTATGTCCGTATGAGTGCGATGTATGAGGAAGCTACTCTTTACCAACTGTTTACACGCATTCCTCGTCCAAAGAACCTGTCAAACGAATTTAAACTCTCCGAAAAGAAATTGAATATCAATATTTTTGGATGACAAGCCCCGTCCGGGCTTTAATTCACGTCTTCTTTCAGACCTTTTCAATGCAAATGAAAAATTTCAATTGCGAAAAACTTATCACTTCCCCTCTGTTAGAAATAGTCTCGATAACAACTGACTCGTTTCGGCTGTACTCAAATTGTGCACGCGAATAAGAGGTTACGTGTCTGAATATCAAACGAATTCTTGTTATGTCAGTAGTTCGTGAAGCACCGACTTAGAGCGAAAATTATAGCTAAAAATATTGTATTTGTTTTCTGGATGAGCTGAATTAGCGCGAACATTGCTGATTAGCGGTAACGTGGGAGCGAGTGAGTTAAAGATACAAATTTTTATTTGTATCTTTGTCAGTAGTTTAACTTGAGGACCTCGGAAGGTGACAATTCCAAGCGAACATAAAGTAGGACTTTTTCTATTATCAGAAATAGATGCTTGAATCTTACAACTGATAGCTTGTAATCATAACATTGGCGTTGTTCCATTTGTTTCCCTAACTTTGTCTAAGATTGTTCACCTATCAAATCAAATACAGTGTTAATATTCAGAAGAGTATTGCAATTCCCTGGCGCCGGGTTTTCTTTTGACCTCAAATCAACCAGGTGGATAACAGAAACTAACCAAAGAGACCACAGCACGGGCAAGACTTGATGGAGCATGTATGGGAAAAAAACGTTACGTTTGAAATTTGACGAACAGTTCGCTTACGAATTTATGAAAGCCTCTTAACACTGTTCCGAAAACAATTATCGAAAACTATTCTTAACTGTATGAACAGCCAGTTTTTAATCCTGTTCTCTGTGGTAAAAACCAAACATGATTAAGCAGTGTTTAAGTTCGATAAAGTAGACACTAGTTCGCCGAGAAAGCGAAAGGGGACGCTTGCACAATATCAGTCACCAGATAAGCGTACCATACTGCTTATCATTCGAGCTGAAAAATCGTGTTCGGACAGAAGTAATTTTCCTCGAAACACAGATAACATGATGATTACCAGTTTCATCAATTAATTTTAAAAATGGAGCCTAGTGAATCAAACCTTGTCCAGGCTGGTCAATGCCACTTCCGGCTCTTATTCGAGGAGTGCTGTAAACAGGAAGTTGAAAAGGGAAGGGGGGGTAGGGGGGGGGGGTAGGTAGACACTACTATATTATGCTACAAAGAAATACGGAGCCTGAAAAAGTAAGATCGACTGGGATCGACCAGTTATTTTATTTCTCACTGAATGGTCTTTTCGTCTTGCAAGTGACCTCATGCGACCGGTAGTCTTTAAAAGGATTTTTATTCTCTTTGGGCAAATTTACGACTTGATATTCAAACAGTGGTCTTAAATGAAATTCGATAAAAGGTGAAATGAAAGGGTATCTTGAGCTGTGATAAAGATGTCTTCGAAAGATGACTGAATAAGGTGAAACTGCTGGGTCAGGTCTAGATATAGTTTTCGGTGTGAAAATAGGGTTAAAATAAAGTGAAGAGGGACGAATACTACAGCAGAAAATTCTGTGGTGTGTTCCCCCCGTTTCGAGTCGAATGGAATGACAAAACAACCTCATCACTTCATCAGCTGATTATTATTTCGAAGAAAATGTGTTCAGGAAGCGCTTAACTCCCTGGGAAACTCACGCAACTCAAAATTGGCATGTTTCCAATTTAAATAATCAGCAAACCTTAGTGATGAAACAGCAAATTATATTTAAGGACGCGTCGATCAGTAGTTTTATCAGTTTATCAGGTGAGCAGCCAAGGAGAGAACGTTTTCTTTCGAGGAACTTCCGCCTAGATCAGTAAAGGTTTTGGAGTCCGCTCTTATTCACAGCGATATCAGTAAATCGTATAGCAAGTATGGAAGGTAAGTCCTCAGGATGTTAGATTTTCAGTACGATTCATTGTTTCAGTTCATCACTTCGCATTGAATTTTGAAGATGTGAAGATGTAAATTCTCCAATGTATTTCGCAACTGTCTTTCCTAGAAATGAAGCGATCTTGTGTTCGAAGAATTTGACATGATTCGTGAATGTTTGTGATGTATTTGAAATTGTCACCATGCCGCAACTGTCTCGATTTAGTTGTTTTCGTTTTGTGCAAGTGAATTATTAGCCGTATCTAAAGGATAAGTTTTATATAGCAGATCACAACCATTTCAGCGAATTTGACAGTGTATTTTCGTTGTATTCCGCTAAGTTCAGTAAAGGAGACACTAGTAATGAGCGACTAATGTCTTATGGTAAGTGCGCGTGAATTATTCAGTTAATATCTTCCGATTGCTCAATCATAAGTCCAGTCAGAAACTGCGTTGGAAACTCTAAAATAATTCGTATCGCTTTTTATAGCCGTCTTTAGGAATCTCCTGCTATACAAGGCTGTCACAGAAATAATTTGTTGTTCACTGTTTTCCATCACTTACATATCCATGCATCATACAGTTTTCGATTACCCTGCAAAGACCTTCAGTCAAGGCTTGTTTTCGTGTGCTGCGAAAAAAACATCAAAGACGAGTAAAAACGATAAGTAAAGTTGGGGGATCCACGAACTTTCCTGTAAAATACATATATATTTTTTCGTTCTTTCTCAAATTTACCTTGATGTGAAATTTACCTCAGTTGATGTGAATTTATAATTCGGGTTTATCTAACAAACATGAAGAAAATACTGACAGCCAGATATCGATTTATTGAGTTTCACTAGAATTTACTAAATCTACATTATAGACCGACAATATAGGGAAAGTGATTGTTCTATTCTGTAACTCATAGAAACAATTCTTGGGAACTTTTAGTTAATCCACCAGCAAAGGATGTTCTCAATATATTTCTATCTGTTATTAAGCAGAAACGTTCTTTCCAACTAAGGGAAAATTACAGCGCTTTACTCCACTTTAAGTGAAAGAGCACGAGGGCCTCCTGAAAGACATTCCAGATGTTAGCAGAAAAACAAAAATACAATAAGTAAATAAAGTTTTGCGTGAACTTGAATATGCCATCACCTGCAATCAGTGTCACGCGCAGCAAAATTTAGAAGGTCAACGGGCAAAAAAATTGAAGAAGATGGGTCACACTGGCTGTATCATTAGTGAAAATCGATTTTGGTTTTGAGCTGATCAAGAAAAAAGGATTGACTGCATAATGAACCTTTACATTGTTAAATATGTATTCATTGAAATTAGATACACAAGAATATGAAGAGCTGACTTCACAACTGTTTCTCTACAAAATTATTACTTAGTCTCTATTACCCATACGTTATTATTTGACCAATGATCACTAACTTCCCCCCATGCCCGCTAATTAAAGTCTAAACAGTCCTAGCATTTGTATTTTTATTCTATAAGCGAAAGTAATTTGTGGCTAACATTTTCCTTACCCTGGAGATTATAAACTATTATCTTGCTTCACCCTAATATTTTATGCTTTTAACGCGCAATAATTTGTGTGAATAAAGACGTGGGATAACTTGTTGTTCGCTGTTTTCTATCACCTAAATATTCATGCATCATTCAACTGAGAACATACGCGCCATGGTTAATTCTCACCCATCCCTCCCCCCTCCCTCTCTCCCCTTCCCTCTTTCCCCCCTCCCCCCCGTCTGCATATGTCTGCGGGTCTTACTCTAAGCCCTAAATCCTAAGCCCTAAACCTAAGAAAACATTACGCTCTAAGAGTGAAACTCTGTGAGTGAACCTCTAGGAGCGACCCTCGGGGAGTGAACCTCTGGGAGTGTTCGGCGCTAAAAGCTATGTACATCATGCAGAAATTTCACTGAAATAGCTTGTCTATTAGTAATAAATGCTAGTGTTCTTTGGTATCTTATCTCCACATGTAGATGTTGAGAAGCCACTATGCTTTGAAGTGCAACGAGTTCTTGCGTTGATCTCAGATTTTTTACAATCAGATAAGCAACTTTAACCATGGCTAAAAATTTTTAATACGTCTCACCCTCTAAATCCTTGTTTAAAACGCTTGAAATAAAGACTTGTTTGAGTCCACTGAACTTAAGAGATGAATACAAAACTGTATGAACCATAAAAAACATCTGATTAATTGCTCCGAAAAGAGCTGGAAAAAGAACAAAAATTACAGCTTTTGCTGTCAACAAATTTATAAGGTAAGTACAAATTAAAAACTCACCTATTCTAGCAAATGTTGTTTGTGAATTTTAATTCTAACCTCAAATGTAAACGGCTCTTGAACCACAAGTTGTGCTGTTTGTCTTACAGTAACACGGCTTAATAATAAAATCTAAATAAGGACCTAAAAAAGTTAAACTATTGAGTTGAAAAACAAACATCAATTAGCATTATCAAAACAGAATTACCACTTCACGCTAAGGAAAGTGCTTCCATGTATTTCAGTGGAGAAATGTTATGATCACTTCACCATCTCCAGCAGTATTATAACAACATTCATTTTGCTGATTTGTTCCGTTGTTGAAAGAACCTCCCCCTCCCCCACAGGAAATATCTTTATTCGCACCTCCACTTCCCCCAGAGTACCCTCCACCCCCCCCAGGCAAATCATTACCTGCACGATATCCACCCCCACCTCCGAACCCACCCCGATGTGCTCCCCCCTCTCCCCCGTTCAGAAATCCTTTACCTCCCTTTCCCCCTCCACCAGATTTCTCTGAGTCTTCTCCATTACTGTAAAAGCCGCCGCCGCCACCACCTACAATCAAGAGATTTACAATTAACCTTAGCAACTTAACAGATCATGGCTTTTAGTAATTCTGAAAAAAATCCAAATTTGAGCGACCAGTACCACCTCTTTGTTCGAAATACTGATGGATGGCAGTAGAATACAAAAAAATATAATTCAATATTTATAAATAGGAAATTCTTCACCTACCAGAGTGCGGTTTATCAGTTTGTCCTCCATTTCCGTTACTTCCTCCTGACAGGAATGGCGAGTTATACCCTGCATTCCCTGTTGTGTTTATGGACGCATCACATCCTGAATGTTGTTCTGTCATTTTAGCAACTCCTCCTCCACCTCCGGCTATGATCAAAGGCTTGTTGTCTCCTCTTACTACAAATGTACCTCCTCCGCCTGAGCCAGTTTTTTTGTTAGAATACGCTTTTTCCCCTCTTTGACCAACAAGTATACGAATGATCTCATCTTTGGTCAACATAAAGTTTCCAATCATCCGCGCCCCTCTCCCTCCGTTGATGACACTGTCCTCACTGTACCCCCCTGAGGCTCCTATTGTTTCTATTCTGTATTCACCAGTGTGCGGCACAGTCCACAGTTGAATACCGCCGGACACTGTAACTTGTCCGTCATGATCCTGACCCGTGTAGTGACTGCCAACTGAGTCCGGACCCTTTGTTCCACTCTTACCAAGATTTGTAAAAACAGCTTTAAATCCTTCGTAAAACACAAGCAGTAAAAACAAAAGTTATGACACTAATAAGAAATTGTTAGTTACTTTGGGCTTTGCCAATACTGTAAAAACCCGCTTAAAAGAAAACGTGTTTTGCGGGTTTAGGCTGATTTTGTTCTTATATATCGGGTGTTTCTGCAAAATTAGCTTGAAAATGTCCTTAAGGTCCTCACTGTACCCCCCTGAGGCTCCTATTGTTTCTATTCTGTATTCGCCAGTTTGTGGCACCGTCCACAGTTGAATACCGCCGGACACTGTAACTTGTCTGTCATGATCCTGACCCGTGTAGTGACTGCCAACTGAGTCTGGACCCTCTGTTCCACTCTTACCAAGATTTGTAAAAACAGCTGTAAATCCTTCGTAAAAATCGAAGTTATGATACTTGTAAGAAATTGTTACAATTACTTTTGGCTTTGCCAATATTGCTTTTACTCAGGGCCGCGGTTGGAAAGAACGCTGATAAACAGCCATTCTTTAAAAAACTATTTGGACTAAAATGTCCGAATATGCTACCAAAAGCTGGCTTCATTAGAAGATATAAGAGTTAAAATACAGCCCAAACAGCTCCTGTGACCGCAAGAATACCAAGGTTTCCAATTTCTTCAGGTTACGTTATTGACTCAGTCACTTACGACCCACTGAAATCTAAATGTCAGAGTCAGAGGTGACAGAGGTGAGAAACTTATTAGTACATCATGTTTCTTTGGTAAAACACATGCAAGAATTTCAGCATGTGCATTGGCCGAGAGCACGTGAATTTATCCCACACAATGTAGAAAGTTAAAATCAAACCGATTGACAGGTAAGTCGCGTAAGCACAACAAACAAAATGGCTGACAAGTGAGGAGAAAGCAACAATGTTTTAATTCAGAGTTTTAGGGCGAATGCTAAAAATAAAAGCATCCAACGAAGGAAAATCAACTGGTCAAAAGTCTGGCTTCCAGAAACGGCTATGAAAGTATACAACGATCCCCCTGAATAAAATTATCAAGGAGTTAAACCAGCGCAACATATGCGTGCGTACAGGCTCGTACAATTTGATTGGCCTTTCAAAATATACTCGTGCTGATTTACCCCAAATTTCACTCGAAATCATGTGATTAGCTATACTAATAAAAGTATAAGATTCCTTACCCTCATCACAATCATGGCCTTTAAATCTAGATCCATCAACGCACAAACACTGATAGTTTCTGTCTGTAAACCCAGCTTGGCATGTTGCGTTATTTTTGCAAGGATTTCTCTTACAAGCATTCTTAGGAGGGAAAGGAATAGAGAAATTTTAAATGATGTTTTGGCAGGCTAACAAATCCTTCCCGTGTGTTTGTCGTCCGCACTTGCAATAGTGTGCGTATGTCTCATGTATGCAGTTCCATTTTTTGGGCTAGGTTTTAGAGGTTTCTTGATTCCACCCGTCCACCTTCGTGGTCCTCGAGTGTACTCTTAATTTGTTTTTCGCGAGCGCTTTTGTTGCACTCTTTCCACGCAAGGTTGTTGGTGATATACGTGGATGTTCGCGTTATAGTTATTCCCATTGTGAGAGGGTTATTTAAATTAGTAGGAGAGGCCGGGATATCCCTCGATTTCGTATCAGAGCTTTCCCGGAAAAAGAGTATTACTTTTCCCTCATAGAATTGATCCTCACCTCTGCTCCGCGGTAAATGTAACTTTCGTTTTTCACCAGGTCTTCATCATGTTCAATAGTTGCGTTATTCAGATCACACTCATGTTTTCCAGACGACTGTTTTATCTCACAGAAGTTATAACTGACGCAGTTAGGTTCCAGGTAGCACTGGAACATGCAGAGATCCTCGTTAACAACTTCAATAGTTCGAAGCGTGTGATTCTCCAACCGGAAGCCAGGTTTAGGAAAAGTAGTAAACAATAAACTACGGCAGTTACCTGGAAGTTGGAAAGTTGCTATGCATTATTGAGACCTCTCTTAAACTCGAACTGTAAAGCACTATTTCTTCTAAATTATTACTTTGGCTTTTGACTTTGCGATTATTCTATCGACATCAGTCGAATGTTTATAATGTATCATCTGACTAATCGATGCAGTTTTTATCTCCCTCTTGATGATCTCAGCTATTTTGATCGGTTGCCAAAGCCACCGCTGAAAATTAATGAGACCGTGTTACAAAAATGCTAGCGGTTAAACGCCAAACATAACAACATGGCGGCTGCAGCTGATGCAGGTACGAAACAGGGAAGTCGTTCATGGATAGAAACAGAGCTGAAGTACTTTGCCTTCGTCCTGGCAGACGAAGAAAACGACTTTGGTTACAAACTGGACACACGCGTTGACGAAGACTGCAAACAAAACTGTTTTCGAGGAGATAAAGAAGGTTCTTGAGGAACGTATGTCGATCGAAGAATTCAAAGAAGAAAACATTTCTTCGTTCATTTTATATTGGCAACTTAAAAACTCTTCTTCAGCTTTTCTTTTACAGGAAAACAATTTTACAAGTTCCGGCAGGGCCGCCATCTTGAATTTTACCGCTAAAAAAATCGTCTCTTGTTGCTCGTCATGTTGTTCGTCCCGTCTTTACACCAGACGAATAACTTGAGAGGCGCGTTATCCGACTGGACGGGTAACGCGTCCTCGAGTATAAAAACGGCCACTGTCTTCACTGTTTTTCTTCTCACACTTAGAAAACCTAGAACCGAATCGATACAAAGTGCCCCATCTTAATCTGCTCAGCCAAAAAAATAACTCTTGTACGCTACGCATGCCTATGTTTATTTGAGTTGGTTAAAAAGTTGAAATCTTTTATACGGATTGTCTTCACTGCTTTTCTTCTTCCACTTAGAAAACTTAGAACCCAATCGACTTTCAACAATCTCCGTTCTGATCAAACAGGATTGTGCAAAATTTGTTTGACAAATATTTTTACCTTTATGGGAGTAACAATAAACGTATGGGTGTGTGTGTGTGCGTGTATGAAGAGTAAAATTGTGCGCTACGCTAATTTAGAGCTTCCTTTTTGTAAAGGCTAGCTGCAATACACAAAGTCCTCGATTTAGGCTTGGAAAATTTCAATCAACCTCAGCACCACCTCTATCTGGAGCCAAATTTCACCAAACGCCTAGTTTTAATATTTAAGGTAGACTTTGAGACATTTTTCCACGAAAAGTTATCTTTTTCTCATTATGAAGATACAAAGGCCTGTCAGTGGTCATTTCATCCGTAATGATTGCCTGGAATCCAAAAGTTGTAAACGTGCACGGACAACATTGTTAAGAAAAAGACGTGATTACTGGTTCTAAAGTAAACTTTCGCTTCTGATTTGTTCGCCATCTTGTTGCTTCCAAATAATGACCATAAAGTGCCAATTGAATTCAAACGCTGTATGAACTCCTCGTAAATGTGTAGGTTGTTTCATGTTATCCAAGGGAGAACTATTTGACTAAAGTAATTTATTATATCTAACACTTCTAGGAGTAGTTTGTATGAATATTTCAAGGTTTAGTTATATTAATATACAAGGCTATCAAAAATGAAACATATATATAAACGTTTATATATATATATATATATATATATATATATATATATACGCTCTCCTTGTCCGACGACCGTTTTCACAAAGATGTAAAACCTCGATATTTTCTTAAAAACTTTGACAATTACTGATGGTTTAAACGAAATTATTGCTGCATTAGAGGTAGTTTTGCAGCTATTTCGTGGGGCCAATTTTTAATGTCGTCGACTGCGATTCTTTCTTGACACGCTTCCAGTTTCCGTTTGTTGTTAAGTCGAAGAGGTGGATTGTAAGGGAAGGGGGGGATTACACACAAGTTATCATTGGGTCTACTTTGCAGGAAATTTTCACCATAACAACCGGCTCGTCAAATTACAATTCGTTTTGATTTTTCGCTTGATATTGCTTAAGCACCAAAAATTTCACTTTTCTTAGGGGACCTACGAAAGGCTTTCGTACAATTTTATCATCATCATCACCATTTTTTAGCCACTTAAGATATAATATTTAAACAAGTTTAACAGTGTGGTAGGGAGAGGAGACCTCCAAGAAACCACCAGGGTTATAGGGGAGGCCACTTCCGTTGTCAATATGTTTGTAATTAAGTTGTGGATTTGCGGCTTGGCCAATTTGGATTCATTTTATTAAACAATTCAGTCATCTTTCTTAAAAAATAAAAAAGGCTATTCAAACCAGTGATCGATATTGGGAGAGAATTCCAAGTTTTAAGACTTTGGTAGAGTATTGCAAATTGTTTAAGATTAGTACGACAGTTATGTGGTCGATAGCAATTGGTTATTCTATCATAACTGTGTACTTGCCTATTTGCAGGGAACAAGCTGAGAAACATCGGGGTCAATAGTTGATTATGATAATAAAACACGAATTTGCTATTTGCAATGCGTTGACTTACGAAATGACTAAGATGCCCAATTTAGCAAAATATGGAGGCAGTGTGTTCTCGATAGTCTGAGTTGGTAATAGCTCGCACAACACGTTTTTGTAAGTAAGAAAATTCTATTTAAGTTAGTCACATATGTGGATATCTACGAAGCTGATGTGAGGTTTCCTTGCAAAATGATCATCAATATAAACACCTAAGAATTTTGTTCCATTTACTTGTTTCCATGTCTGATTTCCAAAGGATAGGAAAAAAGATTTACCAAGTTTCTTCTGCCTCAATTTAAAAATAATGTAACTTGTTTTCTTAAAATTTACCGAAAGCTTATTGCATTTCATTCAAATGTCAAGATTTCACACTTCATCATTGAGAACGGACTCTAAATAATCGGGATCTGACTGAGAATAAAAGATACTGGCGTCATCATCAAAAAGCAGAGGCTGTGTTAATTTAGATGCATAAGGAAGATCATATATAATGTATATAACAAAGGACCTGAAATAGAGCCTTGGGGGACACCGCACGTACTAATTTGATTGGATGAACAATAAGTCAATGAGTCTGTATTAAGGGTTTTTTTTGGCTACGTAAATTTGTCCGAAATATTATTTTCGAAAATCTCAAAACTGAAACCGTTTTAATGATTGTTTTCTAACTTCTAAGAGCGTGGGAAGATGATTATCTTCGCGGAAAGCTTAAGTATTCAAGAATTTTTTTAACGCCGCACAGTGCTCTGCAATATTTAATTATAAAAGCCGTTCGGCTCGAAATATGATCCATTACTCGAATTTCTAATAATGTTATGAAAGAAAAGGAAATATTGCAGTGTTCTCCTTTTCAGGCGGTAACCAGTAACATTTACCGCCAGTAGTACCTCTAATTACCATATAAAATTGCTTGGAATTCTTGAAATTCAACAGGTAAAAGGATTGCTTTACCGGTTTGAAAATTTATTTTACCTGTCTTGCTTAAAATAAGGGAGAACGCTGATACTGCCCCGCTTGTTTGTAGTAAATTTACCATTTCAAAAAGCTTCTAAGTAGTCGCAAACAACTTTCCTTTGGATGCCTCTTCAAGTTTCCGCTCCATAATAAATTCAACCAGCCGAAAGAGAGAAACGGTAGTGGTCAGATCGTTTAAGTACATGTGGGGAATATCCATGATCGCACACTCGCGCTGGATCGTACACTATAAAGGCTGAAAGTATATTTTTGAACCTAAAATATCCTAAGGAGCTCAATCTTTGACTCGATCATTGCCATCAGTCTTCGTTACGATCACACAAAACTGCGTAAAGTTTGTTTAGAAGATTTTTCTGTCGAAATCACCTGTTTTGGTTAGGTGAAGTGAAATTGTTTCGCAGATTAATTTTAAACTTTCTTTCTGCGGTGGATCGATAATAACTTAATCCTTTCTTCTGCCCACTCACTGAAGTACATGAACCCCTCGACTTACGTTTTATGAAAAATGGAACCAGCCTTTATATCAATTTTGAAGCCAAACAGCCAAACAGGTCTGCCAGTGGTCATTTTATCCATCGTGTAGGATCAAAAAGTCGAAAATTAAATGCGGTTCACGGACGTCATTGTAGAGACAGTGACTGTTTATTCAAAATAAACCTTCCCTTTTGGCTCAGCCCAGAAACCATGTTCCCGAGCGCTTTTCATTCAACTAATTTATTTTTGTTTTCTCAAAACAAACAATGGCGTAGCTCCACTTTCTGCATATAAATCCACACACAACCCACAATTTCTCTAATCGCTCTGACGAAGGGTTAACGCTCGAAACGTCAGCTTTTTTACCCTTTACGGTGGCTAATTTACGTTTTCAACCCAGTTGTTAACACTAAATTACCTGCTATACTCTCCCACCGACGCAGCACCACAGTTTCTTTAGAAACTTACCTCTTTATCCCTAAAATTTTATTTGTTTCAATTTTGTAGTTTTCAAAAAGTATTGCAACACAAAATGAAAACTTTCTTTGAAATATTTGGTTGTCTCATGCCACTCCGGGTATATAGATGAATAAAATTGTTCTTGTATTAAGTAATATTAGGAAATGCTTATGTGAATATTTCAAGGCTTAGTTATGTAGATAAAGGTAATAAAAAAATTATATGATGATTAAGATAACTTTGAAATAGTTCTTAGACAACATGTACAAATAATACCCCATTGACAACTTCAACCGGGTTGAATCAAAAAAGAGATGTGAATAACTGAATTTTCCATAGGTTTCAAAAAATCACTCATTTTTATTTTAATTCTGCTAAATTTGAAGCTGAAAAACATCGGTTAAGCAGCTGCTAAGAAGACAATTTTCAACCATGTTTAACTAAACAGCCTTAAAACATGTTTAAGCATTGGTGTGAATTGGGTATAGCAAAATCTTACCTCGTCCTTCTGGTATTAGGGAAGCCAAAACGGTGAGAACGAAACAGTAGAATACAGACAGCATGTCCTCAGAAATAACGCTCGTTATAATTCCAGCGAACAGCTATTAGTTAGTTTTTCCTCCTTAAGGGAAACATTAGGCGAAAGGAGACACCTGCATTTTAATTTGTTCAAATACATCACCTCCTTTGTCTGATTATGAGGTTCTCAGTGGTTGTCATAACTGAATTAGTTTCCTTGGGAACCAGTTGATTGGTGACACTCAATGTCAATGTCAATGGCCTAAAATTTGAATAAATAGAGGAGGATGTCCCTCCTGGGTTTTTTTTGTTGTTTTTTTGTGTGGCTTCATTATGTCCGTATGAGTTCAAATTATGAGGCAGTGTCAAGTGTCATTCGTACATACATGACTTGCGCCCTCCTCCCCCCTTCCCCCGTTCACCAGACTGTTAACCTCAGCACCCTTTTAATTTCAGTTTTTTAATAAAAGAAGAGCTAACACTTAGTATTAACAGACCAAAGAAGCTGTCAAACAAATTTAAACTCTCAGAAAAAAAATTGAATTTCAGTTTTGTCGGATGACAAGCCCCGTGCAGGCCTCACTTCACGTCTTCTTTCAGACCTTTTCAATGCAAATGTAAATATTTTATTGCGAAACACTTATCACTTCCCATCTGCTAGGAATTGTCTCCATAACAACTAACTAGTTTCGGCTGTACTCAAATTGTGCAAGCGAATAAGAGGTTACGTGTCTGAATTTATACGAATTTTTGTTACGTCAGTAGTCCGTGAGGCACCGACATAGCAAAAATTATAGCTAAAAATAATGTATCTGTTTTCTGGGTGAGCTGAATTAGCGCGAACACTGCCGATTAGCGGTAACGTGGGTGCGAGTGATGTAGCAGTGACTAAAAGATACAAATTCTGATTTGTATCTTTGACAATGTTAGTCAGTAGTTTAACTTGAGGACCTCAGAAGGTGACAATTCCAAACGAACATAAAGCAGGACTTTTTTCATTATCAGAAATTGCTGCTTGAATCTTACAACTGATAGCTTGTAATTGTAACATTGGCGTTGTTCCATTTATTTTCTCTAAGACTGTTCACCTATCAAATCGAATACACTGTTAATAGTGATTAAAATATTCAGAGTACTGCAATACCCTGGTGGTTTCTTCTGATCTCAACTCAACCGGGTGGATGACAGAAATTAAACAAAGAGACCACGGCACCAGCAAGACTTGATCGAGTTTGTATGGGAAATAAAACGTAACATTTGAACTTTGATGAACAATTCGCCTCACGAATTTATGAAAGCCTCTTCACAGTGTTCCAAAAACAATTATCGAAAATCATTCTAAACTGTATTAACAGCCAGTTTTTAAACCTAATCGCGGTGGTAAAAGCCAAACATGATTAAGCAGCGCTTAAGTTCGATAAGGTGAACTCTAGTTCCCCCAGAAAGCGAAAGGGTCATCAGATCAGCGTATCATAATGTTTATCATTCGAAGTGAAAAATCGTGCTCGGACAGAAATAATTTTTAAGATGAGGGATCCACGAACTTTAATGTCAGATACATGGATATTTTTTTGTTCTTTTACAAATTAACCTTGCTTTCAGTTGATATGACTTTCTAATTTACGTTTAACTAACAAACATGAAGAAAATACTGACAGCCAGATATAAATTTATTGAGTTTCACTAGAATTTACTAAATCTGCACTATAGACCGACAATATAGGGAAAGTGATTGCTCTATTCTGTAACTCATAGAAACAATTCTTGGGAACTTTTAGCCAATCCATTAGCAAAGAATGTTCTCAATATATTTCTAACTGTTATTAAGCAGAATCGTTCTTTCCAACTAAGTGAAAACTACAGCGCTTTACTCCACCTTGAGTGAAAGAGCACGAGAGCCTCCTGAACTGACCTTCCAGATGTTAGCAGAAAAACAAAAATATAACAAGTAGATTAGGTTTTGCGTTAACTTGAATGTGCCATCACCTACAATCAGTGTCATGCGCAGCAAAATATCGAAGGTCAACGGGAAAAAATTAAGGAAGCAGGGTGACACTGGCTGTATCATTAGTGAAAATCGATTTTGCTTTTAAGCTGATCAAGAAAAAAAGATTGACTGCATAATGGACCTTTACATTGTTAAATCTGTATTCATTGAAATTAGATACACAACAATATGAAGAGCTGAGTTCACAACTGTTTCTCTACAAAATTATTTCTCAGTTATTATTTGACTAATCATTACTAACTTCCCCCCATGCCCGCTATTTGATGTCTAAACAGTCCTGGCATTTGTATCTTCTCTATTCTATAAGCGAAAGTAATTTGTAGCTAACATTTTCCTCACCCAGGAGATTATAAACTATTATCTTGCCTCGCCCTAATATTGTATGCTTTTAACGTGCAAGAATTTGTGTGAATAAAGAAGTGGGATCATTTGTTGTTCACTGTTCTCTATCACCTTAATATTCATGCATCATACAAATGAGAACGTATGCGCCATGTTTAGTATTCCTCCATCCCTCCCCCATCCCCTCCCCCGTCCCTTCCTCCCGGGGGAGAAAGTAAGGTCAGTAAAAATTAATAAACTCACCCATTCTAGCAAATGTTGTTTGTGAATTTTAATTCTATCCTCAAATGTAAACGCCTCTAAAACCATAAGTTGCGCTGTTTGTCTTACAGTAACACAGCTTAATAACAAAATCTAAATAATGACCCAAAAAAATTAAGAGTAATTGAGTTTAAAAACAAACATCAATTAGCGCTTCAAAACAGAATTACCACTACACGCTAAGGAAAGTGCTGCCATGCATTTCAATGGAGAAATGTAATGATCACTTTACCATGTCCAGCAGTATTATAACAACATTCATTTTGCTGATTTGTTCCGTTGTTGAAAGAACCTCCCCCTCCCCCACAGGAAATATCTTTATTCGCACCTCCACTTCCTCCGGAGTACCCTCCAACCCCCCCCCCCCCCCAGGCAAATCATTACCTGCACGATATCCACCCCCACCTCCGAACCCACCCCGATGTGCTCCCCCCTCTCCCCCGCCCAGAAATCCTTTACCTCCCTTTCCGCCTCCACCAAAAGTCTCTGAGTCCTCTCCATTACTGTAAAAGCCGCCGCCAGCACCACCTAGAATCAAAAGATTTACTGTTGACCTTAGCAACTTAACAGATCATGGCTTTTAGTAATTCTGAAAAAAAATCCAAATTTAAGCGACCAGTACCAAAAATACTGATGGATGGCGGTATAATGCGAAAAGAAATTCAATAGTTATAAATAGGAAATTCTTCACCTACCAGAGTGCGATTTATCAGTTTGTACTCCTTCTCCGTTACTTCCTCCTGACAGGAATGGCGAGTTATACCCTGCATTTCCTGTTGTGTTTATGGACGCATCACATCCTGAATGTTGTTCTGTCATATTTGCAACTCCTCCTCCACCTCCGGCTATGATCAAAGGCTTGTTCTTTCCTCTTACTACAAATGTACCTCCTCCGCCTGAACCAGTTTTTTTTTTATTATACGCTTTTTGCCCTCTTTGACCAACAAGTATACGAATGATCTCATCTTTGGTCAACATAAAGTTTCCAATCATCCGCGCCCCTCTCCCTCCATTGATGACACTGTCCTCACTGTACCCCCCTGAGGCTCCTATTGTTTCTATTCTGTATTCACCAGTGTGCGGCACAGTCCACAGTTGAATACCGCCGGACACTGTAACTTGTCCGTCATGATCCTGACCCGTGTAGTGACTGCCAACTGAGTTTGGACCCTTTCTTTCACTCTTACCAAGATTTGTAAAAACAGCTGTAAATCCTTCGTAAAACACATGCAATAAAAATAAAAGTTATATTATATTATATTATATGACAACTAAGTAAAGTTTCAATCTTGAATATCTCTTGAGTAAAGTCAACTTTCTGCACAGATCAAACCATAAAATGGCAGATGGATGCGAATTCTATGTTCAGGCAAGCGTGCGTGGGTACCATGCTTATTTTGTAGATGCAACGGTGTATATTGAGGAAGTTATGGACTGCGAGCAGGTAGACTGTTTCTTTAAACAGTCTTTCTTTGATTGATTTGGAACCTGCCTTTAGTTGTCACAAAACCCTCCTTAGTCGTCGCCAAACACTCCTAAGTTGTCGTTCCACTCTTCCTAGTCGTCGCCAGACTCTCATTATTTGTCAGCAAACCCTCCTTAATTGTCGCCAAACTCTGCTCAATTGTTACCGAACCCTTCTTACCTGTCGCCAAACTCTTATTCGTCGCCAAACCCTCCTTAGTTGTCGCAATTAGTTGTCTCATTTCCTAGTTATCGCCAAACCCTTCCTACCTTTCGCCAAACTCTCCTCAGTCATTGCCAAACCCTCCTTAGTTGTCGCAATCAGTTGTCACAAAACACTCCTTAGTGGTGGCAAACCACTTCTTAGATGTCACAAAACACTCTTAGTTAATGCCACTTCTTAATAGTCGCAAAACAGTTCTTAGTTGTCACAAAACACTTCTTAGTTGTCACAAAACACTTCTTAGTAGTCACAAAACACTTCTAAGTAGTCACAAAACATTTCTTAGTTGTCGCTAAACATTTCTTAGTTGTCGCTAAACATTTCTTAGTTGTCGCTAAACACTTCTTAGTTGTCACAAAACACTTCTTAGTTGTCGCAAAACACTTCTTAGTTGTCACAAAACACTTCTTAGTTGTCACAAAACACTTCTTAGTTGTCACAAAACACTTCTTAGTTGTCACAAAACACTTCTTAGTTGTCACAAAACACTTCTTAGTTGTCGGAAAACATTTCTTAGTAGTCACAAAACACTTCTTAGTAGTCACAAAACACTTCTTAGTTGTCACAAAACACTTCTTAGTTGTCGGAAAACATTTCTTAGTTGTCACAAAACACTTCTTAGTAGTCACAAAACACTTCTTAGTTGTCACAAAACACTTCTTAGTTGTCACAAAACACTTCTTAGTTGTCACAAAACACTTCTTAGTTGTCACAAAACACTTCTGAGTTGTCACAAAACACTTCTTAGTTGTCCCAAAACACTTCTTAGTTGTCACAAAACAATTCTTAGTTGTCA